CACCACAGCTCCCTTGGGAGAGTGACGGGTCACTCTCATGTAACCCCGTTACATCTATCTGTGCCAGTCCCAATGTAATTTTGAGTAATCCAAGCAGCTTTATCACAAATACGGTTAACACGCGGATGAGACCCCCTGCTCGGCAAATTTTCATTCTATTGGCGAAAAGATCCGAATATGACATGACCACTGGTTCAACACTACGGTTTTTCATCATCGAATGCTTCTGTTTATTCGACTATTTACTTTGTTACTCTTGCTCTTTGTGTGACCATTCTTCGATAAGTACTTTTAACGCCGTTTGGGAGCCTCTACAACCTTGCGGCAATTCTGATACGTGGCGTTTGTATGCTGGCATTAGGCGCCTTAATTAGCATTGGATGCACTGTTGAGTCTGCAAGATGTCACTTTATGCTCCTCAGACATAGTAGATCGCTCCGAAATTCTCCAGAACGTACTGGAGACAAAGGTGGACAATGCACTGATTTTGATCGGCAATGTATTAATTTTGATTTGGATACGTCGGGCCACGCACTCAGAAGTATTGAAGAGCCGCAGCTATTCGTGTATTCTTGCTAAAGTACTCGCTGGCATTCTCGCACAAAATGACCTTTGTATGATTTTAATTACGTCTCCCACCTCACACGCTTTCTTGTAAAAGGTACTTGCTTGCATGAGGTGGCAAACAATAGCTTTACCGTTCTCGTAGTCGATCGAACGCCACTTCAGTGTCCATCACGATAAATGGGTACAAGACCAAGACGATTGTCTGTGTTCATTAAAAACATTTTAAAAGCTCACGTTTTGGTTCTTGGTCGCCAAGTCTGGCGTAAAGAGCGTTGACGACACCGATACGACTCTGTGATTGCTCATTTTGGATATGACCGATAAGGTGGATCATCAGAAACTCTGCTGCTCTGATCGACAAAAGAAACCGTAACAAACCCAAAAATCTCACCAATATTCATCTTCACTGTGGTCATTACGCTCACAGACCCTAGCCTCATTGCTACATGTCCACAATGGAAAGAACCGTAATTTATTGATTCTCGTGGGAGTCTTGGTAATTTGTCACACCATCGTCGTAATTCTTCTGAGTAAATATTTTCAGCTTTCTGTAAGTTCACAACCTTTTCTTTTGGAAGTGTTTCAATCAATTTGATAAGTAAATTTAAGTAATGGTGATTAAGAAAGAAGGGAGCATTTTTCTTTATCGTCGTAGCAGTGTCAGTGATAACGACTTTGTCGAAGAAGCTTTAACTTGCTTTATTCTCGCAATTGTTTCAAGCTTACGTTCTATAAATCGGCTCTTTGGTTCCTGCATTCGAACTCTTCATTCTTACCTGATTGCTTCACGATTTTGTTTTCCTTCTAGTATTCGGTCGACCTATCCGTTTCACGCTTGCACGACCGTAAAATTTTCAATTCAATGTTTCGGTGTCAAATCTGCAGTTATTATTTTCGGGCTCACTGTCATCACCGAGAATTGTGCTACTTATGCGCAACGAATGAGTCGACACGTAAGTGATTGATGTCATGTATCACCGCTCCGAAGTCATTCACCGACATGTCGAACTCATCATCAAATGGACTGATGACTTTTGCGTTTGGAATCTTCTAACACATCAAAATTTTAGTGTTGAAGATATGATTTGTCGAAAACTGATAAAAATCGATCTCGAAAGGTTATATCATCATGTCGATCCTGTACGCGCTGGTTGCGCGACAGCTAAACGTGTTATGTGAGCACACAGATCAAAATGGAAATTTTCCTACGATTACTCGCGCCGTGCTCAAGAATCTTCCACAACAGGATTCCAGCACGTCGTCGCTACCTTCGAAGAGCGTATTCCCGTACAACGAATATAATTTTTTTTTCCTGCTTGATGACGGCATCACGTACATGTGTATGGCAGAAGAACGTGTTCATGCGAACGTTGCATTTATGATGCTGGCAGATATGCAGTTGATGTTTTTGGCTAAGTACAAGCAGCAGGCGAAGACAGCGTTGGCCTACGCCATGAGCCCTTTCAATCCGACGCTCGACCACCTCATGAAGAAGTACGATAACTTCAAATTGGAGACGCCAATGACACAAGTGAGGCAGAAGATGGAACGCGTGAAGACATTAATGATTGAGAATGTCAATCAGGTATGTTAAATGTGTGACATGGACAACTACTGTGACTAAATTTTTTATTGCACGTGCTAGTTGATGGAACGGGGTGAAAAAATTGAACTCCTGGTCACAAGAACAAATAAGTTACAGCAAGACGCTATGAAATACGAAAAATCGGCCATGAAGCTCAAGAATGCGTTTTGGTGGATGGATGTCAAGTATTGGATCTATATGACCTTGGCCTTAGCTGTGTTAGCGCTTATCGTAGCTTTATCGATTTGCGGGACTGACTTTTCAGGTTGTGCGGCACGGATTGGGAGTCAAGCTGAAGATGGTCTTGATAAGGTTGTCTCTTCAGCCTCCGGAGCAGCAACAAAAGCAGTAGACAGAGCATCGATAGGCATAGCAGGTGGCAACTAATCAAGAATGGTGACCCTATACTTTTTCCGATTCTCATTAGTTACTTATTGCCCAAATCCAACGATTTTCCTGCAATGTGACCAACTATTCGTAAGAAATGTCTTTTACATGTCACCCGAAGATGCCGTGTCCACAGCCGCCTTTTGTAATAGTTCATCCGTCTCCTTCTCGGTGAGTTGGCGGTGTACAACTTTACCATTGGCACCACGCGTGACTGTTGTGAATTCAAGCTTTTCTGCGCTTGGAGTGGTCGAGTCCATAGTCTTGTTCATGACTTTTACTGAAAACGCCAGCGCTGCTTCCACCGTCATGCCCTCCTCATATTCGCTCTTCAGCATGCTCTTAGCAGCACGATTATTGGCGCCAATGGCGGTAGCCTTCCAGCCGCCGTAATTTCCACTGGGATCGCTGTGGTATAACTGAAAGCCGTGGTGGCGATCCCAGCCAGCGTACAAAAAGGACACACCAAAAGGGCGCTGTCCACCAAACTGGGTGTATGCCTGCTTGTAATTGCATACGGTCTGCACCAATTGCTCACATGGCTCCTTCTCCTGGTATGCCAACTCGTAGCGCTGCGCCGACAAACGCGCGTAGTTGACAAGTATTTCGGCATCAGCCGTAAGACCAGCTACGGCACAAATTAGATGCTCGTCTAGCTTTATCGTCTTTTCGCTAGTTTTGCTAGGTGTCAGCAGCTTCGATATCGTCTTTTTCTCCGCTGTAATATAAAATAATCGAGTCATTTACGATCCAATAAATTTGGCAGATAGCAGTCCAGAGAACTAACCTGCAATCACAATGCCATCTTTCGCAAGAATACCTACAGCTGACCCTGCATTGTTAATGGCCTCCATAGCGTATTCTACCTGAAATAGGCGACCTGCTCGTCATTGGGGAAGCACACATTTAGCTGAAGATATTACGCAGAGAAGCCTTAGAAAATGTAGAATATAAGCAAGCACACCTTCGGGCGAAAATGTTGTCGTACGCCCGTCGTATCGTCTAGACATGATGATCCTCAGTGCTGCTCAATGTGATCTTTACCGTATCTGTAAGCTGGGGGAGGAAGGGCTAAACAACCACTATTGATTGGTAAGAAAAGATTCAAGTATTCACTTTTTTTTAATCCAATACGGACATACTATTAATGTAAAGCTCTTTCTTGGCGAATTTTGGACGAGGAAATGTCGTTGCGGAATGTGGACTCAGGTACAGGCAAGAAGAGGTGGCGAAATACGGGAGGTACATATTTGCTCAGCACCTCATCTGCACTTATGAAGTGTTCTCCCAACTTATTTCCGAAGCGGCCAGCCACTACGAAGGAGCAGCCGTGGCGGGCGATGCGATCCATTGCCAGCACCATCTTGTGCTCATCCATGTCATAATACTTTTTGTCTACGATGCGAATTGCCGTATCGGCCCCAATTATGAACGTACAGCCAGGGAACAACTCAGCCTTTTGTCCAAAAAGCGTGGCATTTGTGACCAGCACGGGCCATGCACCGAGTTTCATCGCACTGCTATCTCTAAATTGCTCTACTCGTTCTCGAATAGTTGACGATTGAAGTGCACCTTTATCTGCATTAGCAATCGCAATCTCGAAAGCCACTGGTAGATCGACTCCGCTTCGTGCCTTAAACAATTGCTGGGCAACGCGTGCCAGATCTACGTGACCCTTGTGCAGGGGATTAAAAGATCCTGGCAGAATCAGCCCACGAAATTCGAATTCTTGTAGTGCGAGGGGTGCATTCTCGGCGCTATTTTCGGCAAAATTAGGCAAAAAAGCAAGACTCACAAGATTATCCAGCTTACCAGCGCAAATATCATCCAATAGGTCGCTTGTACTGACAACAATGTCATCTGAGGTCAGCTTCATAAATACATCGCTTTTAGACTGCGTTGACATTAATTCGTTATAAAAAGTATTGCATGCATTTGGAAGCACATTGGCAGCCTTGGCTAGCAGATAAACTAGCCATCGACTGACAATATGGTCTTCTTCTGTTCTCGAACGCCCTAGTGTCTTGTCCAGCTGCAGGTGATATGTTTCGTACTGTGGCCTGAGGAGTACAGAACTTTCAGACACTGAGCGAACATGGCAAACTGAGATAAAACATTCATGTGGGCCCATTTTTGTATAGTTGGTTGCCAATCCAGCCGTACACGCGATGCCCACAGCCGCTCGAAAACGTTTCAGTACATTCGGCAGCGCTGCTGCGGTCTGTGTACCATCAGCCTCCGCTTCCCGCCGCATGATGTCAGTTGCCATTTTCCACGCAGCCATTGCCATACATTCAGAGGTCTGTGCCGAGCAGCAATCGACCATGAGGGACGAATTGGATACTGAGCCTAAAAACGAGTGCAGACTCGCGCGTGAGTAAGGTACAACGAAGTGCAGCATGGTAGATGAACTTCCGGGACGAAAAAGACTCCCAGCAACAGATACACCACCACCTGTCACTGCTGCAACCACCTTCACATGCGGCTCACGGGAATACACAGCGGACAATAGGCGCTCAATAGTTGACATCAAACTTGATAGAATAGTAATTTAACCTTCATGAAAAGAGAAGCGCTCCAGTAGTAAATATCAGTACAAAAATACTTTTGATGCTCAAAATTTCGATATCAGTTTTTATTCTTATAGAAGAAAAAAACACTAACCGAGGAAAATGTATGTCCCGTTTACACTTGGTGTTAGTCGTTCATGACTAAAGAAAGGATCTTGTGCCTTCACCGTATCTGAAAATTGTGGCTCAAAAAAGTGTCTTTTCTTTTGCTTGCATGAGCCTCATCGTCTACTGCATATAATTTAATTAGTGTAAATGTGTGATCTTCCAAAAATTGAAGTTCGTGTAATATTTAAGGTATTTAAAATGTGCATTGTGTTGAAGTTGCATATCGGTGATATGTTCGTGTTGTGTCATCGTAATCATTGTAACTATCGACTTGGACGTAATTTTTTATTCGCATAAAAAAAGTCGAATATGTCCATCTTTTCGCTCAGACTTAATCCTGAAAACGTGACACTGCGTACCTAAGGCGAAATGAAGACTTCTTGTCTTCTCCGTCACAGTAAAAACATATTCAGTATTCATGTGCTACTTCATCAAGTGATTTAAAATGATGCATAATGTGGTGTATTTAAGTCGAGAAAACCTTTTGTTGTAAATCATTATACCGTAAAGTTAGCTTCATATACATTGGTGCGCGCGAATACATTTGAATCAAGGCCCCACTCTCTGATGAATGCACAGACTAAGGTTGATTTATATGTTTCGAGTGGATTTGTCTTCATTCGTCCGAAGTTTATGCTTGTTTCTAATATAATGGCAGGTAAGCAGAGCCTATCTCGTCATTTTTGTCTGAGTTCCACCCCTTTGGAAATCATCTCGTGCTCGTTACTATCGGGTCAGTCGTATCTGCATTTGAAAAAATTGAAATTTGCCTTTAACCGTTTTGACACAAAGCTCTCAAATAGTTTTATGAGCTGTAATATTCATATTAGAGCAAGCGATTTGGTAAAAAAAAAACAAATTTGAAAGATTAGATTTTGTATAATTTATTGCTACATACTGATATTTAAAAATATTGCCGAGTAAAAAAATGTCATTTCAGAAATCAGTGACAAAAAAGACTATTTATTGCAAGAAAACTTTGCTAAATTCTAGCAGCAAATATGATTTCTGCAGCTTAATATTTTCAAAGGCAAAAAATGTGCCAGGCTATTCTTTAAACAAAAATGCCGACTGAGTATTCATTATTTTGTTTTGTAAATTCACGAAGTAGCTCAAAATGACCCGAATGGTGCACAAGAGGTGGAATGCACTATCATAATAATATGAGCTCGCTAGATCATACAACTCACTCATAACTAACAGCGAACAGCATGCATGTTCAAGTTGATGTCAACAATCGCTACAATCCGCAGCTCAGTTTACGAAATATTGCCGCCCTTTTGTAAAGTATAACATCGTACTTAATGATATTAGCCAATTTTTGGTGGCCAGAAGATAGTGTATGATTCTGAGCCAATGAAAAGTCCGTCTATGTGTTATGCTTAGTGGGGTAAATTTATGATATGCTAGTAATAAATCTTATAGAACTCGAAAAGTGCTCATTTGAAAAACGCACTATAGGAGAAATCGAAGGCTGATGAAGCTGGTGGTGTTCAGTAACGACGAGTATGGTGATGAGATTACGGACAGAAACATACGCAATTTTGTCAGTAGAAGACGTCACATATATTCTTATAATGCACCGTTTCATCACCACAGAAAGATTGTTGAGCACGTACTGTGCCTTCTGTGCCGAGGTCGCAGCTTAGTCTTCAGGACTACAGATATTGCATAAGCAGGAAGGTTAACAGCGCTCAATATTACGTTTTGTCTCAATACATATTTGAGTGAACTTCATCTACCCCTGGCAACGGCATGCCGCTTGAAAATGTCGTGGTATCCAACAATTGCATCGAGCTTCGCATTCGTTAATTGTACTTCCAATTTAGGTGTATAAATGTAGCAGCTCTAACCATACTTGTATCAATCACTATTGTGATTGGTCAGGTGCTGGCCAAATGATGTTGGATCGTGTACGAACTGCTGTATTGACCAGAATATTTTAGATGCGGTCGAATTACCCTTGGACGAATGCGGTGATTTTGGACAAGTTTTGCCGGTTACATGATGGAATAATGTAACATTACTCGGCTGAAGTACGTCGTTCAATTGGTGATTGGAGACGTTGATTGCGTTGTACGAGGGCATGTGACCCGTAATTGCAAAAGATGGGTATAATCTTAGCGACCTTGTGACGATTTGCAGCTTAGGTGTCAATACTATTAGAAAACTACAGACTGTTACGCTTCGATAACTTTTCTAAGTTATGTAATTTCTGCTTTGAGCAGGGGTTGTGATTGTATGGACGAATGACGCAAACATGCAGTACATACTACAGGACAGCATGTCTTGTCTTACTACGTCAATAACTATAAGTACAGCGCGAAAGGATTTTGCCACGATAAAATCCATACATCGGCAATAGCTTGACAGATTGCAATCATGGTCTCGTGGATTTTGTATTGTACCCCCTTGAATTGTCCAAATAGTACTGACAACTTAATTTTATTTAAACGTTGAAGTACACCGCGAGATGATTATATACTCCGGAGTTTCGTGAGGTACTTCTCTAGTCGTTCGTAAAATGCTGGCACGCGAGTCATGTAAGACTTCCGGACGAAAACGCGTAGATTGGAACGTGATACAGAATTATGTTAGGGTGTGTACGTGTCCTAAACTTCTGTATGATTGTGCAAATCTAATATTATAGTATTGTACGAAACTGACGTCATACTGTCGCACTAATTGTGAGTGTTCGAAGCCTCAATGTATCGAAACTGATGAAGATGATTGCACCTCGTAATGAAAATGTTTGTGGTTCACGCTGGCATTATCAGAAGGAGTAAAACGTAAATCTGAATTCTATTATAACTATAACTATAACTATAACTATAACTATAACTATAACTATAACTATAACTATAAGTATAACTATAACTATAAGTATAAGTATAACTATAACTATAACTATAAGTATAACTATAACTATAACTATAACTATAACTATAACTATAATTATAATTATATATATAAATTAATTTACTGAGCAAAATGATTGCCAATATACTTCAAATTTAAATGGCGAACTAACTGTATATGCTCTAAAGTTTTCTGCCTAATATAGCGCACTAACCCAGCATCTATGCGTTATATACACGGGCTTTTGAGTAGAGAGAACTTCTGTGCGGCAACCCTATAGCACTTGGTAGCAATGAAAGTACATACGACGACCAAGTCGTGAAGCGATTTGGTGACAAAGGACACCAACCTGTCCTCAAAATAAGTTGGTACACAAAATAAGCTTATATTTACTGTCGGACCAAAAGAATCAATAAAGGGGACACCTTAGACCAGGATAGTAGTCGTTTGCGCGCAGGCGATTAACAGCTGCAAGAATGCGCTGGGGATTACCTAAAAAAGCACCCTGACTGGAGACCAGTGGAAGAACAGATAGCACACAACTACTGATGTCGGGTGTCAAGCCCCCCGAAGGCCAGGGTGGAGTAACACTTCTTCTCTGATTGATAAAAACTGAGATGGCCATGAATTTGATCATGCTTGATACAGAGCAACCGTAGGTTGTGCAAGGTGATCACTGGGCATTCGTTATAATTTTACCGACATGAAAAATCGAAACGACATATGTCGCAGGTGTTCGGATGCTCAGGTGTATTTTTAGCTATTGTCAACGCAATGGAAGAGGAGATTATATCCAGAAGTCAACACTTTATATCGCTTCAATGACGTCATACCCTATTCAGAAGGCGGTAGCGGCGTCCATCTCGGTAATAGGAAATTCGAACGGGTGCGGCTCGCAACGGATCCTTCCGCGTCTACTAGCCTTTTCTAGAAGCTGGCGGGTATCGCTTTTCAATGCAGTTACAGCTTCTAAGTGGTAAGAGTTGGATAAATTTGGAAATGGAAACTCCATCACGAAACCGTCACTCCATGAGTGACGATTCTCAACCACGATGAATATCTTTGAGGCATTTACAGGTTTTCATCAACCGTAATATACCACACCTGCGCTTTAGGTACCCCAGTCTCGCAAGACTAACAGGGGCAGAGAGTCGTGCCCCAACGAAGGATTGCTCGACAATTCATTCGCGGGTCAATCTCGAGTCCCAGTAGGCTCAGGAGATCCTACTGGTAACTGAGGCGAAAATTGGTCTTGTAGTGATATTGTACCTCGCTGAGGTCGAGGCCAATGTCATTTATTTCAAGAAAAACAATTCCTCGTTATAATAAGTGGGCTCATAGATCCAGATTGTGAGTTGCTAACAGCAGCATTTGGGTTCTGCGAAGCCGGAAAATCTTGATTGGTTTAGGAGTGTCTCAAATCACGTACGATGCACGCGCGACTGTCAAAACAAGAACACGGTTTGCGGAGGTATTAAAGATGCCAGACACGTGTGCAGTATCCACGCGTCTTTCGACAGAGACACTAGTCCAAAAATCGAAGAATGTATCAAGCTCTAAGTAATGTTTGAGAACGTTGAAAGCTTGTTGTATGTTGTATTTATTTCACTGCCGCCTTTACCTTACAAGCAAGTGAAAATCGAAGAAGTAAGTTGCCACCCCACTTCTGTCCTAGTGTAGCTTTGCAGAGTCATGAATTCATTTCAGCCAGTAAGCAGAACCACTTTCGACGTGGGCAGGAAGCTACGCTAGTTTCGGTGTAGATAGACATGGACGCGTATAAATTTTCCAGCAAAGATGATGCTAATTGATTGGGGGGAGAGTTCAGAAGGCAAAAAATCACTGAGCCGCGTTTGCAGGACGGAACAGTTATCGTTTGTCGTTGTCTCTAGCGCGTGTCTTTTGCTGAGACAGAAAGTGATCGACAGTATGGCGCGGTGTGCAGAGGGTTGTCTGGTGAGTTGGTTTATCGCAGTCGTAAGCTGGTGCCCCT